AGCATGTAAACGCACCATCTGTTCTTTTCTTTTACCTAAGTTGTTGAGAGCTAAAACATAATAAAATTTTAAAAACAAGTAAATTTCATAAAACTGCAAATACTTTACATGATCTATCACAAAACTACAGATTTAAGAATTTGTTTCACAAAACTACAGATTCAGTGTCTTCGTTTATCACAAAAAACTACGGGTACTTTGCACAATATATCACAAAACTACATATTTAAGAACTTATTTCACAAAACTACAGATTTAATATCTTCATTTATCACAAAATTATTACATGTTTAGTATCTTCATTATAACAAAACTACAAGTTTTAGCATTGTTAAAACCTGTAGTTTCTTAATAACGGAGACACTAAATCTGTAGTTTTGTGATAAATGAAGACACTAAACGTATAGTTCTGTGATAAACAAATACACTAAATCTATAGTTTTGTAAAATAAATTCTTAAATATGCAGTTTTGTGATAGATTGTACAAAGTTGAATGGATTAGATTTGATCTCTAGTTCAAGGGGACATGTTTGATCTGTACGTGCGTACGGGACAGAAACGAGGTGATGCGATCTCGCAGACGGTCGAATCAGGAGATGAACGGAAATTTGATACGGACGAGTAAAAATCCCGGAAACCTAATGAATTTTTTTATTAGGTATAGATTTCATAAAACTAAATTATCATAGAACCCTAGATTTAACGTGATGTATCACAATAGTATATATTTAATATTAAATTTCTCATAGAACTACATTTTTTTTATTTAGATGATAGAAATGGATTAAATCTCCAGCTTCTGCCCATTGGCACACAGCCAACAAGTTTTAGAAGTAATAAAAAAAGGAAGGAATTAATAATAGATGTGATTGGACAAATTCCCAACTTTCGCCAATAAAAGGATCAACTGAAATAATGTTTTTAAAATCACATAGATTCTAGCATGAAATTTTGTAGGTACTACGCTATCCAAAGTATAATAAAAGCTCTTGACTACCAATTCCAAGCATGTAGAACCAATGCGCATAATATCCTGTTGTTCCTATGAAAGCATCAAATACTAAGAGTGGAGCTGATTGGAACACATGATGATAACCTGCATAATGTTAGACAATTTCTTATGTTAAAAACTCTATCATTACGGTAATTCCAAATTGACCAATAAAGCGCACTAACTCCAAATAAAATCAATATTTTGGTGGGCCAAGGCGCTCCCCTTAGCCAATTATCCAAAATATCTTTTGCATTGCGGGGAGGGAGGACATTAAAGGCAAAGAAGACACATAGCCAAGCAAAACGTGCAACATGGTGATTAGAAAAAAAAATACTATACCTGAGTTATAACAACTTATTAGGCGTCGTTCCACAAGGACTTTAAACAATTTCAAATCTTACCTATGTTAACTTTGGTGCCAACCAATTTGTTGGGACAACACCCACTAACATTGGCTATACCCTTCCCAGACTCACAAATTTGATACTAGGAGGGAACAAATTTGAAGGACCAATTCATGTTTCTTTAGCCAATGCTTTGAATCTCAGAGAGATTTTTTTGCATAAACTCTTTCACTGATGTTATCCCTCATTGGGATCCTTGTCCACGTTTACAAACTTAGATCTAGGTGGCAATAAGCTTGAGGCTGGAGATTGGACTTTCATGTCCTCGCTAACAAACTGCACCCACTTACAAAATTTGTGGTTGGATGAAAACAATCTAAAAGGAATAATACCAAGTTCTATTGCCAACCTTTCAGAAATATGAGCAAAACCAAATCCTTCTAAAGACTCTAATACAAAACCAATTAACCGCCAGCATACCTTCAGAGATAAAAAAAAACTCACTAGTCTCACTGTCTTGCAAATGGATTATAATTTACTTTCCGGCAAAATTCCCAGCACACTTGGAAATCTTCAAAACTTATCGATCTTAAGCTTATATAACAACAAGCTTTCTGGAGAAATCCCTCAATCAATTGGCAACCTGGAGCGGCTCACTAAACTTTATCTCCTATGAGTTTAAGAGGCATTGATGAAATGGATCTTTCCCAAAACAACTTGTCTGGTGACATCCCAGTATATTTTGGGACTTTTGAATCTTTATGCACTCTCAATCTATCCTTAAATAACCTTGAGGGGCCAGTCCCTGAAGGAGGTGTGTTTGCAAATTCAAGCGATGTGTTCATCCAAGGAAATAAAGAGGTGTGTGTAAGTTCTCTAGTGATACAATTACCACCTTGCAAGGAACTGTCATCCAACAGGAAGAAGACATCCTATATTCACAGTGTAATGGATGCAATCACTACCATTCTTATAGTCACCATGGCATGTGTTGCCTGAGGAGGAGAAATGGGCCTAAGAGAATTATTGTCAACCATTCATTCAAGTGTTTTAGTAAATTATCATACAATGATTTGTACAAAGCAACATATGGTTTCTCTTCAAGAAGTCTCGTTGGTTCAGGAACATTTGGGTTTGTATATAAAGGTCAATTGAAGTTTGGCGCACGCAATGTTGCAATTAACGTATTTAGACTTGACCAAAATGGAGCACCCAAGTAGTTTCTATGTTGAATGTGAGGCATTGAAAAGTATTCGCCATCGGGGTTGGCCTATGTTCAACCTTTGATACATCAGGGTTTGAATTCAAAGCACTTTTTTTGCGGGGATGAATTCAAAGCACTTGTTCTTGAGTTTAGATCAAATGGCAACCTTGAAGTCTGGATCAATCCAAAAGTGCGCAGTCAAAACCCCCCAAAACTGTTAAGAGTAGCTGAAGACATTGCCACTACATTGGACTATCTTCATAACCGATTCCTCCCTTGGTTCACTGCGATCTGAAACCAAGCAATATCCTTTTGAATGATGAATCCTTTAGTGACTTTGGACTTGCAAAGTTTCTTCAGAACAACATTATAAGCCTGGGTGATGCATCAAGCACTACCAGACTGAGAGGGTCAATCGGATACATTGCACCAGGTGATCACCTGCTTCATTCTTATTTTGTCCATTTCTATTGTCTCTATTTTATCTTTCATGGAAGTGATGCAAAACTGTATCATATTTTGACTGACTAAGAAAGATTATCAACTTGCATAATTAATATTGATCGCAGAGTATGGCTTGGGGTGCAAAATTTCAATAGAGGATGATGTATATAGTTATGGAATTATTGTTCCAGAGATAATCATAGGAAAGCGCCCTAACTTCACAGCTTTGTGGAGTCAGCATATTTCCACATCAAATCAATGAAATTTTAGAGCCCCTACTCTCACCTATTATCATGAAGGTGAAGACCCAAATCATGCTGTGGTTGAAATGCAAACATCCATAGAATTGGCTAAGCTTGGGCTAAAGTGCACAGAGCCATCACCAAAGGATCGTTCAACAATGTGCGATGTTTACGCTGAGATCATTTTTACATCAAAGAGAAATATTATGCACTCATCAACTGGGGAAATGGATGGATACTGCTGAAGTTCACCTGCTGAAGCTAGTAAAATAAATTGTGATGTGCTGTGCTCATCTTTCTCTTGGATTCGAAATAAATTGTGATGAATTTGTAATTACATTGGTCTGAACCAAACTGCAAGCGGCCGGGAAGCACGCCTATCCAGAGAATCAGTTTTGATAACTAATTAAGATTTAAATTAACTAACTTTTGTTTGCAGGAAGATGACACAATCGTTGACAACGAATTGAAGATGAACCAGATTGCCACCATGAGAATCCCTGCACTGCAGTAGTTCCTGGGCAACGTTTGCGTGGGAGAAGAGTTTGGCATTGGATAGTTGGCCTGGGCGTCGACTGATGGGCTGCCTTTGGCCTGCCGCCAGCCTCACTGACCTATACTTAGGCACATCATTTTTTATTATCCTCTTAGAATGGCCTAAAAAAGCATCGAGCAACCAGCAAAATTTCATTTCTTAAACATCTTCTTTAATGGTTAGACTTGATGAATTATTGGTGCTAGAGTTTAGGGTTTAGGGACAAGCCATAATATTTAGTTGTTGCTATATATGATAAACGATCGAGGTTCACCACCACATGTGGAAAATAAATAGGAGTATCTATATAGCATTCGACAGTTTTTTATTGGAAAACTTTCAAAGTAACTATACTGTAATTGGAGTGCAATTATACTGTAACTACAATACATTCATAGAATATAACTAAACAAAATGTAGCCATGCCACTCACGCGAGGTAACTGGTTTGATCCTCTTCAGGTTCCCATGCACGAATCTTAAAGCACATCTGATGACAAAACAAAATCAAAAAAGTTCCTAACTAAAAAGGCGCATGAATCTTAAAGAGCATCAGACATGAAAAAAATCGAAAGTTCCCTAAATAAAAACAGTTTTTTAGCAAAACCAAAATAAATTTACCACGTAGACACGATTAGTGTATTAGCGGTATATATATTTTCTCAAAATATAAATATACAGTCCCCTGTTTTAAAATTTAGCTATTTCCTTTGTAACTAGGAAATAATTATATTTTAGGATTACGAATGTGTTAGCAAATCATTGAGGTGTCAGTAGTATCGAATTAAGCACCTTATTTTGACTACACGTTGTGGCAAATATTTACGTGCATTTTAGCCATGTTTAAAGAAAAAAATTTGGTTGTTAATTTTGATGCCAATATATGAGAATATGGGTAGTATTGTTTAGTTAAGCTTGTTCAGGCTTCCCACAAGACCTGCGCCTGCAAGCTCATCCTCGTCACGGTTGTCCATTCGGTGTAGTTTTTCCTCGTTAGCTTGGGATACCACCCACTGCACCATGACCTCTTTGCCAACGTTACCCCTCATTCGGCCATCGTTGAGGCATGCATGTGGCAGTGGTGAGCGGGAGCAACTCCTCGACCCTGTCAAGAAATGGTTCTCCTATCCAGGCATAGAGCCATGACCGATCTTCGATGCTTGCTCTAATACCACTTGTTATCGCCAGAACAGATGAACACACATGAACATTTGGTGTGCAGACAAAGCGAGAGAGATTTGGCGCTGCGAACTGCATTGCAGCTTTTCAGTTTTCTCTTCCTCTTATTGTGATGAAAATAAAAATGGAAATCACGGGCTACCAATATGCCCAAGACTCAAGCCACGACGTACATAAGTTGTACCATCCCACAGAGCACATACTGTAGCTCATACGACAACAGAAAAACGAAAAAACGATGGCCTCAGTGTGAACATGCACACGCCTCAAGGCTACTGACTCATGAACGAAAGGAAATCAAAAGACTAACATAAACATGTTTATAACCAACATGTTATGTATTTAGTTCAATTGTCTGAACTAGAATAGGTTCCACGGAGAGATGCACATGTACACCTTCAGAAGCATCAAGGGTAAACCTCGATGATTGATCGGGCACCTAGCACCGGGGTGATTTTGTAGTCACTGAATCCAGCCTCTAAGAAAATCTTCTTCCATTCATACTCCTCTCGCTCGATGCCATCGATGTACATCATGAAAACATCAAACAAAAGTTGCATCTCCTTAGGAACAATTTCCTCGGATCCAATCCCGACAACCACCTCAATAATTATCACCTTTCCCCCAGCATCTCTTGCCGGGATTGCCTCTTTGCATAGTCGCAGAATCTTGACACAATCATCATCTTGCCAACAGTGCAAAAGACACTGAAATCACATGCAAAACTAACACAAATTAAAGAAGCTACTCAACAGCTGAAAGCACAGCATATCAAAGGTCACTTAAGTATGTACCTTAAGTAGAACAACATCGGCTGCTGGAATGAACTTGAAAAGGTCACCACCTATAAACTGGATGTTGCTATGAGTGGCGGGAGCCTCAGCAACAATATGAGGCAGATCCAGCACAGTGCACTTGATGTTTGGGAATGCCGTTGCTATGGCTGCAGCTGCAGCGCCATGGCCACCACCAACATCAATAAGAGAGCTGATGCCCTGGAAAATGCCACAGCTCTCCTTCAAGATGATATCCATGGCGACACGGCTGTCCTCAACCATGCCGGCGTTGAACACGCTGCCATCCTTGGCATCGTTCGCTATCATCTCCCACCGCGTGCAACCATGCGCCACCTCGAAGGGTGTCATGGTGGTTGCCTTCTCGGTGGTGAACCACTCGTGAATGCTGAAATGAGAGATCACGGCGAGTGGGTTGGCTAACACACGCGCCATTTGGGACAAGGCGTGCGTTCCCTCCCCATCGCTGTTGAGGAGAAGGCGAGAGACTCGGGTGAGTGTGTACATGGCCTCACCATTGCGGTCTTCGACAGCGAATATGCCAGTGACGGTGAGCACGCGCATGAGCCGCCGGAGGTGGGAGAGCTTGGTCGGGTGCAGCCCGACGTTGAGCGCGAGGTCGGATAAGGTGGCGGCTCCGCCATTGCGGTGGATGACATCCGCAATGCGCAGGTCGATGGCGGCCCAAAGTGCTGTGGACTTGATGAAGGCGAAGCAGTGGTGGTAGAGCTTGATCTGAGCTTGGATCAAGTCATCGGTGCTCATCATCTGCTCATCTTCTTCTTGGACACGTTGTGCCATGGTGTTCTTCGTGCAGTAAAGTACTACAAGTGCAATCTTATGGCGAAGAGCTAAGGCTCTTAAATAGGATCAGTAGACGTGCAAGTTTATATTCATAATTAAAATTACTAATGATCTCCTCCCACCATTTACCTATACTAGCTTATAATTAAGCCGCTGCCAAAATTTAATTTGAAAACTTAGTAGTTTTGAATAGTTTGTTTTCTAATATTCGGTTTTAAATCTCTAAACACACATGTATAAAAGTTTTATCTACAAAATATATTTTTTCTGATAAATCATATGGTTTATAATCAGCATATATTAGGCTAACCAAGGATGCATTATTGTAGCAGTGGTGCCAAATCAATCATAAAAAAAATGTGGTCCTATCCTTCGAATCATTTTGTGTCCTTTGTTGTAATAGTATCAATCTTCAAGATAGTGGCGGATTTGCACACAAACTCCATGGAATCCGTAGCCGTCCACGTCGACTGCCCATTCACATCACATGCTTGAATGCCACACGGAAGACACCGTGGCACAGTTTAAAATAATTTTCAGGGAATGGAGCAATGGAAGAAGGGATGATTTTGTCGGACGATTGTATCGGCCACTGTCGTTACAGATTGGCAGGAGTTAAAAACCACCAGATTTCATCCCGATCAAGAAGTGATCGGGGACATAAATTTTGTTTGTGTGGTCGGTAGAAACAGATTGAGTTTAAATATAATACTCCCTCCGTCCTAAAATATAAGTATTTTTAAGATCTCGATACAGTCTTCGAAATACTACTTTGACCAACAATATCTATAAAAATAAAATATTTTAAATAGAAAGAGTTGCATATTATGATAGTTTGATTAATGATAAATTTAGTAACATCAATTTTACATGATTTTTTATTATTTTTTTTGCTATTAATAGTCAAAGTTAAAAATGATTGACTTGGCACTATGCTAAAAATACTTATATTTTGGGACGGAGGGAGTAGGCAATAATTAAGCCTTGAGCCTCACCAGTGGGTTTATATATAGGAGAAAATGTAGAGTAGAGGTGATGTCTAATTCTTGCGTCAAAACTCTAAACCTTAATCGCCCGATCGGTTAAACGCTGGAAGGCTTTTATGTGGTTATCTTGGGGTAGTGTAGCTGGCATTAAGAAGCTTTTTCACTATGTCAAACAGAGAATATAAGAAGGAAAACTGTAAGAGAGACAAGAAGAAAAACCGCAAGTAGGATATAAATCAAAGAAACCGGCCTCAATAGCTTCACAAGCAGCTCAGTAGATTAATTTCCATGTTAAGCATAGGTGATTATATTAGGCTAAGACCAACCAAAGTAAATTAGAATCCAACAGATTTTTCACAATTTATTTGCACCATTTGTTTGCATGTATCCTTTGGAAGTATCCCTTGCAAGTGATGATTTTTCTGTTGCAACGTTTCTCATATATTTTTATTCTTAGAGGCTAACGTAGAGATTCCGATTCAAAAATAGAGTATTCCCTCCGTTTCGTATTATAATTCACTTTGACTTTAATTTCTTTCTATGAAAAATGTAGCAATATTTTTATATAAAATAAATATAATTTTAAAATATATTTAATGTTAAATTTAATGAAACTAATTTGGTGTTATAGATATTACTATATTTTTCTCTAAACATGGTAAAAGAAACTTAATAAAGTTTAACTTCAAAATAAAGTAAGACATGTCTTGTAAAATGAATGAAACGGAGGGAGTAAAGTTATGGAGAACTTTCATATAACAACAATCAATCCATTATTCATCCTCTAAATGAAGATATATGCGTCGAACATGGAGTCATGAGACGGATGACTGAGCCAGTAGCATCTTCATAAGCCCATACGACGATTATCGAGTGGATTAGTAGTATAAGTTACTCCCTCCGTTTCACAATGTAAGACTTTCTAGCATTGTCTACATACATATATATGTTAATGAATCTAAATACATACATATGTCTAGATTCATTAACATCTAAATGAATGTGAGCAATGACAGAAAGTCTTACATTGTGAAACGGAGGAAGTATCTATTATAGAGATAAAATGAATAAATATATTTAATAAATAGCTTAACAAGTAGCTTAAGAAATAAATTTTCTAAAAGTTTTTCGAGATAAATATTTTTTGAAGCATGTAGCAAATAATTCATTTTAATAGTACAATGAATAGTCCGAGAAAGAAACAGGCTAATATTTCCCTGTCACTGATGTCATTTCTACAAACGTGCAATGACAGCGATATAAAGCCCGGTGCCCGCCTAACTGTCCTCGGAGCTAGCTCCGTTGTTGATAGAGATGGAGCACTGCTTGGTGTTCTTCTTTTAGCCAGAAAAAAAATTGTGTTTTTATTTTTCTCCTTGTTTTAGAGAGGGGTTATTTTAGCTATTCTTTTTTCCTGCTTTGGTAGCTTCCATTGAGAAAATAATTTATTTGTCAAAATAATTTGTTTACTGTGTAATATTTCCAATCTATATATATCTCATGTTATTTTCCCGAACTCTCAATCTTTGTCTCTTCTTATTTTTAAGGAGAGGGTACTGTGAGTTTTCTGATTTTTCTTTAAACCGAAAAGGGGTAAATGCTTACTTTTTCTGCATTTGCCCTCTTGTTTACTCGTAGAGGTATGTAGCAATTGGGTGTTTGTCTAGAAGAACCGAGCTCCACCAAAAGATTCAGTTTTTCGCATGGCTTCTTGCTAAAGAGCGCCTCCCCACAAACGTCCACAAGAAGAAGATTGTACAGTTGCCTCAATGTGAGCTCGGCAATGCTACTGATGAAACATCATCACACATATTTAAGGCTCTGTTTGAATCTCCTAAAGGTAAAGATGAAGATAAGGATTAAGTATTTTACATAAAACGAGATGGTAATAACTTGCAATTAATTAAGTTTTAATTATTACAAACTTAAAAAAATGGATTAATCTCTGATATTTTAGAATAACTTTCATATAGAAAATTTTCGCACGAAACGCACCGTTTAACAGCTTGAAAAAAGCGTGCCACGAAAATTTAAAACTTAATCTCACCTCAGGTTGTGTTTAGTTCCTTCCAAACTTAGAAGTTTGGGTTGAAATTGATACGATGTGACTGAAAAGTTGTGTGTGTATGACATGTTGATGTGATGGAAAAAATTGGAAGTTTGGATCTAAACACACAGCCTCAGTTGGGTTCTCGAACAGGACCTTATTCAGTGTTCGTTCGCGGCCTCATTCTGGTGCTCCATGGAAATTCAGCTCAATACCATAAGTGCCAAAGACCTGGCAAGGCTGGTTGCTCCAGCGCAGGTGCCTGCTAAGCATTTTCAGATGCCTGGTTTCTCCTCTTAATCTAAGTACATAGTACAGAGATCTTCTCTCCTCCTTAGGATCTAATTAATGTAACCTGATGTGCTCTTTGTACTATGTACTTAACCCCTTCTTAATGAAAATTCAGGAGGGAACTATCCTCTCCGGTGATCAGTCTTAAAAAAAAAACATTCACCTATGGATGGTTTAGATTTAGACTAAGTTTGATTCTACAACTCGACCAAAATATTCCTTCATTTACCGTGAACTCGTTTCCCAACGTTATGTTTTTAAATACTTTGTATATAAAAGTTTTTCTTTAAAAAAGTCAAATAGACCTGATTTTTAAGATTGTAATAATTAATACTCAATTAACATAGTATTTAATAGCTTACCACATTTTACGTGCTGCTGAAAAATCGTATGCACCCCTCAACCTAAGCCAAACTTTGCTGATACGGACCCATAGGGAATTAGGGATGGGAGGGGGAAACTAGGAAAAAAAAACAGAGAGAGAAAGGTGGCCACAGTGAGGTACTCTACGTAATGCGTAGCATGATGCTTGGTGTTTAGCGTTACTGGTAATATATTATACTAGTACATCTTTAATACAAATCAATTAACGCGTTAATACTTCAATTTTTTGTTTAATTCTATTTTGCTGCTTTCAAATATAAGTTTGGGCCCGTTTGAATAGTAGAAATAAAAAAAATAGAGGAATAGGAAAAACATATGATTTTAACAGTAATGTAAGGCTCTGTTTAGGGCTTGTTCGTTTCATAGGAAATATGGAGGAAAAACCATTCTTATAGGAATAATTACTGTTCATCCATTCGTTTTGTAGGATTATGGCAAAGGAAGAATTCCTTTGTATGTGATTCCTATGGATTTTGGTAGGAAAATTAACATCCACTTGGATCTCATTTTTCTATTCCTACGCGTAGGATCGAGGCAAATCACTTGTTTCATTATGTATCTGAACCTAAGTTACACAAATTATTAGAGTATTCAAATCTTGATTGTGGTAACTTAATACAAAGATTCCTGTATTTTTCCTACTACCAACTATCTATAAGAGTCATTCCTATACTTTTCCTATCCTTAGTTTTGCATATGCATTCCTATATTATTCCTTCGTTTTTCCTATTGCTATGATTTGAAATTAAGCGAATAGGCCCTTAATTTCCAAACAAAAACTTTTTGCCTATCACATCGAATGTTTGGATATATATATATATATATATATATATATATGAAGTATTAAATACAGAAAAAAAAACTAATTACACAGATTGCGTGTAAATTGCGAGCCGAATCTTCTAAGCCTAATTGCTCCATAATTTGACAAAGTGGTGCCACAGTAAATATTCGCTAATGACGGATTAAGTGGGCTTAATAAATTTGTCTCGCAGTTTACAAGCGGCATCTGTAATTTATTTTGTTATTAGTCTATGTTTAATGCTTTAAATGTGTGTCCGTATATCCGATGTGACACACCAAAACTTTTCGTCTCGTGAACTAAACAGGGTCTAAGTGTAAAATAGAGGATTGCAAAACATAGCAAAAATATAGAAATGATTATTTGATTGGACCTCTTACTAAATTTAACTCAAAACCTATATGCAATCACTCCATCGGCATGCAAGTCTAAGTTCAATATATACACACACACAAGTTCAAACAAAAAGTAAAAAATTGATTAGAACTAACAGAGCTACGTGCTGTTACTACTCAGAGTTTAATTGTTCCTT